GGGTTTAGGGTTTCGGGCTTAGGAGATTATTGGAGGGTCTAGGGCTTAATTCGGGAGCAGCCTGCAAGCCTGAGTAGGGCATGGGGCTTTTGGACAAACCTTGTAACCTGCTTTTTTGACATCCGAAAACAGTGCCTCTTTTCAGACCCTGAGTTAGTACTAGAGGGGTTGAGGTTGTTTACAGCTTTATACTAAAGCTTGTTGAAAAAGCAACACAATTTATGTAGCGGTCGTAATTGCTAGAAATTTTGTTGGGGGGGAATAGGCGGTGGATGGTACTATAGCCTGACTATAACTAATTATGCAAGGACTATGCGCGGCTACCAGTGCCAACTAATTACCCCCCTACAATATCTCCTGCCCACCTCTGAGTGCGAGACGCGCCAGAAACACAGTTCGAAGTATCGCAAAGTTAGAGTTCCTAAACCCTAACCCAAAGGCTCCATGTACCTTTATAGTAGATACTCAGGCCTTAAAGGGGTCCCTTTATTGGTACTTTAAGGCTTAAGCATCTGCTAGAAAGGTACATGGAGCCTTTGGGCCGAAACCCTAAACCCTAAATGCGCAAGCCTAAACCCTAAACCCTAAACCCTAAACCCTAAACCCTAAACCCTAAATGCGCAAGCCTAAACCCTAAACCCAAACCCCTAAACCCTAAACCCTAAACCCTAAACCCTATAACCCTAACTGCGCAAGCCTGGCGTCGCAGCGGTGACCAAACGGCTGGCCTCATGAGTTCCGATGAGCGCTTTGATCACGAGAAGTTACCCAGAGGGTCCGAGTACCCAAATAGTAAGGTCTTAGGCCCCCAAAACCATACTCTGAATGGTTTTTGGACTTTGAAACCCTACTATTTGGGCACTTGGACCCTTAGGGTTAGTGTTTGCATCCGACATGCTGAAATAAGGTGTCAAACATACTACAACGCACGATAATAAAGCCATAATATACTGTTATAAGGGACTTTGGACCCTTTGCGCTACAGACTTTCGAGCCTGAAAACAAGTAGCCTGAAACAAAGAGACGCCCACAAGCACCAAGACAATCGAAACATGCACCTAATATAGGGGCCCAAATAATTACCACTGCTTGTTGTTGATTCCCTATTATACTTGTAAAGTAATATGTCCCGAAACCGTTCTCTGCTAGTTGTATAGCCCCTGTATTCGACACTAGTAAATGCCGAGTGAGGGTACGGTCCTTCTTACTGCGACTACTTTTAGCCATGAGGTGGAAGTTTTTTCTCTTTCGTTCCAACAACTGACAACAAGTTCCTGCCATAAGCCTTTCTAGAACCCTGTAGAAAGCCCAGAAACCCTATGCTAATCTTGCAGAAAACACAAAAAACGAATCACAAGGCCCCTATAATCCCCCATAATTACCCATACTATTTCGGGGGGTTTCTTATCATAGTTATATAATATACCCCGAAACCCTATTCTACTTATTAAGGCCCCTATATCATCAAGCGTATTACGTCAAATAGGACTGCGACCGGACCACGCGGAATGCTGGCAGAGCAGGGGTTCAACGGCGCTGGGGAAATCGATGTTGGGGTTCAATCTCAAAGGGTCCTATATCAGGGTTTAGGGTTCAGGACCTTAGGATTTTAGGGGTTTCGGGTTTAGCATTTAGGATTTAGGGTTAAGTACTGGTACGGGGGATACGTTCCCAAATCAGGATATGACTTCCGGATATTGAGGCCCGACATTCTGCGACGTAGGTACTTTATGGACCCTGTGGGAATGGAGGCTCGGAAGAGGGCTGTGCCATGTAGGCATACTTGTGAAACTTTCAGATTACTACTAAGTTATAAGAACCCTATTGGGGCCTAAACCCTAAACCCCTAAACCCCTAAACCCCTAAACCCTAAACACTGCACCCTAAACCTAAGTTATAAGAACCCTATTGGGGAACTGAACCCCAAGGTTGGGTAGTGGAGGACTAAGTTAGGGATGCCATGAAGACCAGGGCTTCGCGATGTGATTTAGGGCTTTAGGGTTTAGGGTTTAGGGTTTAGGGTTATGTGACGAAGTCTGCTTGCAAACAGCAGAAGCTTATCTCCTTCTTGCCCCATGACTTTGGGTTTGGGGTTTAGGGTTTAGGGTCTAGGGTGTCGGAAGTTCAGAATGCGATTCGAACTTGCCCTGCTTCTTAAATCGGGCTTTCTCGATACCCTTTCGCATGGAACGTCTGGCCAACATCTGGGTAGTTGTCTAAACTAGGGTCCCTGTTTAGGTCCCCAATATAGTACGGCACCCTTATAAGAAGGACCCCAAAAGGGACCCTAATTTAGAGAAATACCCATCTAGCTTTGAGTCGACTCCCTGGTGAAAGGCTGTTCGCTAGGTTCGAAGAAAGCTTCAGACAGGGAAATCTTATGTAGAACTGGACATAGAAAGTTATGTATCTATCGACTCATTCATATTTATTCATTCAGAGAAAGACAGAGACTGCCGTTTCAGCACGATTGGTACGACTCTGACAGCCCGGCTGCACGATGCCTTTTCCGTCTCGGGACGAAGAATTCTCATGGAAGTTCCTGCAGGAATGTGCCAGACTGCCCTGCAGCTAGTCGCCATCTACCCTAAGCCCTAAACTCTGAAACCCTAAACCCTAAACCCCTAAACCCTAAACCCTTAAACCCTAAACCCAAAACCCTAAACCCTAAACCCTGAAACCCTAGTCGCCATCTACCCTGAGCCCTAAACTCTGAAACCCTAGAGCACCGCAGCCCTGGACATGCACCCATGGCGAAACTGAGCTGTACCGCGGCATCGCACGAGAACGAAAATGAGATGTGCTTGCGACATGGGGGATTTCCGAATAGCGGACCCAAATATAGTACCCCAAACAGTCGGATCCTTATTATAAGGACCCCAAAATAGGGTACCCCTTCTTTTCGGAAACTCCCACATGGGGATTCTCGAAATTAGGGGACCCAAATATAGTACCCCAAACAGTCGGATCCTTATTATACGGACCCCAAAATAGGGTACCCCTTCTTTTCGGAAACTCCCACATGGGGATTTCCGAAATTAGGGGACCCAAATATAGTACTTAGTACCCCAAACAGTCGGATCCTTATTATAAGGACCCCAAAATAAGGTACCCCTTCTTTTCGGAAACTCCCACATGGGGATTTCCGAAATTAGGGGACCCTAAGATAGTACTCTAAATAATGGGATCCTTGTTAAAAGGACTCCCAAAATAAGGTACCCTAGTTTTCGGAAAGTCCCACATGTGGCCTGATTTACCTTCGAACCAATTCCATTAACGGTTGGTGTTTCGTTGGGAAGGTCCTCTTGGGTATTCTCGGGGTCTTTACATCATGCGGCTTTTCACTGTTCACCAATACAGTAGCTTCTTAGCAGGTTTGGAACTCAAAACTATATACTTTACCATCGTATCATTACTTCGACCCCCGAAATTCTAACCCCTAAACCCTAAACCCTAAAAATCCTAAAAATATAAACTATACCATCATACCATCATTGCTTCGACCCTTTGGGCTTATGTTTGATTGACAGCTTTGTGCAGAAGAACTTCTTCTTGGGGTTCGGTGGTCCCAGTGCTGGATCTTCTAGGACTTGGGCCATGGGATCTTTACTGGCGTTTGGGGCTGGGCTTGCAGACCCTAAAAACCCTAAACTCTAAATCCTAAAACCCTAACGCCTCAACCCTACAACCCTAAACCCCCAATCCCAAGAAGAGCCCAAACCCCGAGCGGAAACCTAAACCCTACTTACATTGAAGGCTCAGAGGGGACCTAGCAAGTAAGGAGATTATATGGATACCTAGCCTCTTTCTGATAAACTACGTCTCCTGACACTTGCTAACTAGAGCCCTAGACCACTGAACCCTAAGCCCTCAACCCCAAATCCTAAAGCTCCAGAGTCCTAAACCCTGAACACTAAACCCCAAACCCGACACCACATAACCTAAACCCTTAACCCACCCACGCCCCGTAACGGCTCTAAAAGTCTTTGCCACGGCACAGGTCCACCAGAGTCAGTGTGTCATTCTGCTCGATGGCCCGGACGAAGTATTCACCGGCCTGGCTAAGAGCAATATCCCTTTCTCCATACATATACTATTATATATATATATAGACATGCATACATATACATATACATATACATATACATATACATATACATATACATATAGACATGCATACATATACATATACATGTGCATATACATATACATATACATATACATATATATATATATATACATATACATATACATATACATATACATATACATACATACATCCAT